AGAGCTAGAAGGGCCCTTAGAACCCAGAATGTCAGAGCTGGGAGGGCCCTTAGAACCCAGAATGTCAGAGCTGGGAGGGACCTTAGAACCCAGAATGTCAGAGCTGGGAAGGCCCTTAGGACCCAGAATGTCAGAGCTGGGAGGGGCCTTAGAATATAGAGATTTTTGAGCACAAAATGTAAAAGCTGGAATGAACCTTAGGTAGTGCCCTCCTGCCCTCCTGCCCTCCCGGCTGTCCCATAAACAAGACATTCTGTCTCTCAGCTCTGGGCGTTTTTTCTGACTGTCCCCCTTGAATAACTATTCAACAACTGCTGAACTAGTTGAACTTCCCAACCCCTCTTAATTCTTGTGCCTTCTCCCTGCTATTTATTTCCTAATTATCCTGTCTATAGCTTGTCTGTACATATTTGTTTGCTCATTGTCTCCCCCACTGGATTGAAAGCACCTTGAGGGCAAGGACCACCTTTTGCCTCTTTTTGTATCCCAAGTGTGCAGTGCCTGGCACATAGTAGGTGCTTTATAAATGTTTATTGACTGAGAGGTGAAATACCTCACCTAAAGCCACACAGCTAGAAAGCAGAAGGGCTGGGTGATGCCAGTGATGGCGATTCTTTTTATGGCCATAATATGTCCCATTAGACCGTCCCTTCTTTACTGAGCTCCCCCACATTTAACTGTGGCAGGTCCTTCGTGCTTTTCAAAGCCCCTTCCCGTCCATTGCCCCATTTGATCTTCACAACAGCCCTGGGAGGTAGGAAGGCCAAGCATCCCCACAGTTTGCTCCACTTTCCCATATTGAGTCTCCGTGTTTCTGCCCTATGGGGTTGTCGAGAGGATCAGATGATTAGAGGATCACAGATTAGAGGATGCTTTGAACAGTTAAAAGGCTAAACACATGTAAGGGCTACAGCATGATGAGCTGAGGAGGGAGACAGCACTGGTCTGGGCAGCTGGAGGTCTGGGTTCTAATTCTAGCACTGCCATGGACTGGCTGGGCCATTTCAGACCAACCACACAGCCCTTTGGGGCTTTGGTTTCCCTGTCTGTAACAAGGGGGCTTGATTAAATGATCTCTAAGGCCCTTCTAGGGCTGACATTCTATATGTTAAAGTGATTTCTGGTGCCAATATTCTATTTTTTATGTTCTAAGGCTCCTCCTAGGTATGACCTTCTGTGTTCTAAGGTCCCTCCCAGGTCTTATATCCCATGTTCTAAGAGCCCTCCCAGCTCTGACATCCTGTGTTCTAAGGACTTTCCCAGCTCTGACATCTCAGCTCTGACATCCTGGGTTCTAAGGTCCTCTTCCACTACATTCTATTCATGTTGGTGCTGAGATCTTTCACACTGTAGTTTGTGGTGAAGAGCTCTGGACTTTTGCTCAGAGGATGTGGCTCTATCATTTATGACGTGTGTGAAGCCGGTGAATCACCTCACCTCACCTGTAAAATGAGGGTGTTATTCTTTGATCTTTAACGTCTCTTCCGCTCACATCTGATTAGCCCGTGAATCAGAAAACCTGGGTCTGCCTCTTATTAGCTGGTGATGACAGGCACAAGCCTCAGTTTTCTTTTCCGTAAAACTGGGAGAATAATTTTTACTGGGCTTTTGTGAGGTTCAAATGAGAAAATGGACATGAAAGAACTTCAGAAAGTGAAACATCACTTACTCTGCAGTCTTTTTGCTCAGTATTGCTCAATATCCCCACTCCTAGGGAGCCAATTTTCCCTCCCCAACCTCTGGTTGCTGCATCCACTCTCCCCCGGATCCCTCATCTGCAGTCCCGGAGCAGCCTCAGTAGGAACTGAGTGAATCCATGGCCAGCCCTGACTCCCCACTGCGTGAAGTGCGAGGCAAGGATTCCCAGGCCTCCAATGAAGAGGGCATTCTCCAGCAGGCAGGGCCTGCTTAGCGCTAATGAACAGAGTGTTGTCCCCCAGGCGGTGGAAGTGTGAGCCCTCGGGAGCGAAGGTGCTCCTGGAGCACCGGTGGAGGCTCCCAGCCTGGACGGGCTCCCTGGGGTGGGGGGTGGCAGGAGCTGCCCAGGGCCCAGGCTCTCTGGCTGCCAAGCTGGCAAAGTCACAGCTGAGGTATTAATGGAGCAACAGTTTCTTAATTGCGAGGTGTGAAAGCACCGCTAAATTAGACAGCTTAGCCAACAGTTTACAACTAAGTTTGTGGAAAACTGTCAGCCCTGTCTCTAATCAGTCTTGGACCCAAAATAGAATGGCTTTGTTCTGTTCAGTCTTTTTTGTATGTGACACTCCCTCCTTCACACAGGTGCACACTTTCACACAAGCAGACCTGCTCCCCGCACTGATACACTACAGTCACACTCACTACTCCACGAACTAATCAATGAACATTTATTAATCACCTACTGTGCACCTGCTGGGCACTATGTTAGGCACTGAGAATATTCAAATGAATCTCAGTGATCTCTATGTTCAGGAGTTCCACCCAACAGTCCAGACCACAACCCATTCATGCCTGTCCATCTTGTCCATCTTGTCCACGTTCTCCCCAAAGTTCACCACAAGGCAGGTGTCCGTCCAACATGCTGTGGGACTCACTCAGTTTCTCCTGGCAGAATGAGGGTGCTACTGTGGTCTACTCTGCCTTTTTTTTTTTTGTTTGCCATGGCAACCCAGGCACTGGGGATCCAAAGACAAAAAAATGAAGCAATCTCTGACCTCAAGAAGCTTGCATTCTACCAGGGAGTGGGGCAACCTGGGAGAAAAACAAGATGCCCATAGATACATTACAGGCATCATGGGCAAAAGGCAAGATGAACAAATATACATCCCAGGTAACACAGGGGAAAGGCAACATACACATATATACATCCTGGCCTGGATGTGCTATATTAGTATATATAATAAGCACACACAAATAAATATATGAATCTGTTCATGCACATAACGCTCCCACATACAAACACGATAATCATGTCTACACCTGTGTCCAATCCTGGCTTTGCCCCTTACTAACTAGGTGACCCTTGGCAGGTCTCTTAATCTGGAGTAGATTGGGGACCTTAGAGGATTTCTTGTGCCAAGCTCCTTTTTTTTACAGATGAGGAGACTGAGGCCCAGAGAGGCTAAGGTCCAAGGTCACACAGGTTCACTGTGCCAAAGGAGGGATTTGAACCCATGTCCTTTGACTCCAGAACCAGTGTTCTTTCCATTGAACCAAGTTTACACTCAAGGTAAGTTTTCTTGTAGCTTGAAATCCTATGATCTTGTGAATTGGAGCCAATGGGTCAAAGACAGGCAAATTTTATTTCAGTGCAATAAAAAAATCAATACCTCTTAATCGTAAGAGTTGTCCAAGGAGTTCTCTCCTACATTTTCTTTCTTTTCTTTTTTTTCTTTTGCAAGGCAATTGGGGTTAAGTGACTTGCCCAGGGTCACACAGCTATTAAGTGTCAAGTGTCTGAGGTCAGATTTGAACTCAGGTCCTTCTGACTCCAATGCTGGAGTGCTATCCACTGCGTCACCTAGCTGCCCCTCTCTGCTATATTTTCCATAGGATTTAGTGCTGGAGGGGTTCTGAGAGGCTGTCTAATTCATCTCCCCTTGCCCATTTTAGGGATGAGAAAACTGATGTCTCAAGAAGTATAGATACAACTTCGTTATGACTGTTGTTCAGTCATTTCAGTTGTGTCCAAGTGTCCGTGACCCCATTTGGGGTTTCCTTGGCAGAGATACTGGACTAGTTTGCCATTTCTTTCTGCAGCTCATTTTACAGATGAAGAAACTGAGCCAAATAGGGTTAAGTGACTTGCCCAGGGTCACACAGGTATCTGAGGCCAGATTTGAACTCAGGAACGTAAGTCTTCCTGACTCAAGGCCTGGCCGCCTGTGCACTATGGCACACCTACCTTCCTCATGATGATTATAATAACATATATATGAAAACAGCACTAAAATGAAGCTAAATGCCGAGTTATTGCAATGCCCAGTCTTGGTCCCAAAGAGAAGCTGCCTTTTGGTAAGATGGATGGGAGACCGTAGGTGTGGAATGCTGCTGCATATATGGCTTCTGGTTGTTTTTGCTTCATTTCCCCCCATCTATTAGAGGGCGCTACTCATGTTGGGGAAGGGGAAGTGTTTCCTATTACTTCCCTTCATATGCTTTCTTTTGTGGAAAAAAAAAACTTAATTATCTTGTTAAATATTTCTCAATTACATTAAAAAAATTTACCATTCATTTAAAAAAATTTTGAGTTCCAAATCTCTCCCTTCCACCCCTTGAGAAGGCAAGAAATATGATATCAAATATACATGTGAAATCACTTGTATATTTATATACTATATATAATTATATATAAATATATAATTATAAATGTGTGTGTATATATATATATTATATATATATATATACACACATAAATTATATATAAATACATAATTTCCCATTCAAGTAGAAGTGGCCTGCTAACCAGCCATTTCTTGTCTAGGCATTCCATCTCCCACCTGCAGACCTTTGTACACGTGATTCTTCATGTCTGGAATACACTCCAACCTCACCTCCATCTCTCAGCATCCTTAGTTTCATTTGAAACACAGTTTGGGTGCCACTTCCTGCACGAGGTCTAGCACAGGGCCTGGCATACAGTAGGCACTCATTTGATGATGTAACACAATGTCTAAATAAAACTTAATCACAATATATAATCATAATATGTAATACGTATCACATAATTTCTCATTCATGCAGAGAGCTTTATGGTTTGCAAAGTGGTTTCCTCACAGCAATCCTGAGAGGTAGGCAGAACAAGTATCACTGTGCTCATTTTACAGATGAGGAAACCGAGGCTTAGGGAAATCAAGTGACTTGTCTATAGTGCCCTGAATAGTTAGTGGCAGGTCCTAGGTCTGGGACCAGGGATCCTGACTCCTAGTTGAGAAGGTAACCTGGGGATTGACCTTTCTGAATAGGCTGGTTGGTCATGAGCGTTGATGACCCCTTCTCATAGGCGGGTTTCAATTTCTTACCTGCCTGATTGGTGGTGATATTGACGGAAGCAAACTGGGGTGAGAAGGGACTCTGGTCAGTGACCCCGTTCACCGCCTGGATCTCGAAGGTGTACTGGGTGTGGGCCAGGAGGTCGCTGATATAGATACGGGGCTCCGTCAGACCCAGCTGTCTCGGGGCAAACTGCACGTTGTCCCCGCAGCGGGTGCAGGCGCCCCGGCCTGAGCCGCAGCTTTTGCAGATGATGTTGTAAACCAGGTCCTCTCGGCCCCCTGAGTCCCGGGGTGGAGTCCACTCTAGCATGAGTGAGGTCTCATTGATGCTGGAGATGACAGCCTGAGGCGCAGAAGGGATGGCTGGGGAGAAACAAAGCGGCTGGTCAGAGAGAGGTCACCTATTCCACTACAGAAACAGCTGTACGCTGTTGCACTGTGTTTACTGGATGTGAACAAATAACTTCTTAATCCTTCAAACATGGATCTGACCACGTCACTTCCCTACTCAAAAACCTTCTGAGGCTCCCTATTGCCTCTAGGGTAAAATACCAAATCCTTAGTCTGCCATTTAAAGCCCTTTACAATCAGGATCTTTCCTAATTTCTTTCTAGTCTTGTTTCCTATTACTCCCCTTCATACACTTTCCATTCAAGTCAAAGTGGCCTGCTAACTAATCATTTCTTGTATAAGGCATTCCATCTCCCACCTCCAGACCTTTGCATACCTAGTTCTTCATGTCTGAAATGTACTCCTTCATCACTTCCACCTCTTAGAATCCCCAAATTTCATTCAAAGCACAGTTTGGGTGCTACTTCCTACACAAGACCTATACAGTAGGCACTTAATAAATGCTTATTGACTATGTCCTCAGTTGTTAGTGTTGTCACCTGCTTGAAATCACTTCTAGAGAATTCCTATTTACTTATCTATCCCTCCCTCCTGGCAAGAATCTCAATTCTTCCAGGGCAAGGAAGGTTCCATTCTTTTCCTTGCACATTCAACACCTGGTACAGTGTCTTGTATTTAGTAGGTGCTTAATAATTGTTGAACTAAAGTCTATTGAGGATAGTTGCTACCTGTTCTCCCTTGGCTCCCAAGGACCCATTCAATACCAAGAAAAGCTTTGATCAACCTCCTCTTTGAATGCCCTTTCTCTTCTCATCTTGGATTTCCTTTCCCCCCCCCTTCTCTTGCCTTGCCATCAAACTTTTGGCTCAGATCTGGAATGCTGTCGTCCCCTCCTCCCTCTCCCTTTTGTCCCAGGTGACATCTTACTCATCCTTCGAGGCCCAACTCCAAGAATACTTTCTCCTTGAAACTTTCTCTAAGCACCCCCCTCCCTTCACTAATATCCTTCTTAATATGTTTCAAATTTTGTTTCCTATTACTTCCCTTCATACACTTTCCATTCAAGTCAAAGTGGCCTGCTAACTAATCATTTCTTGTATAAGACATTCCATCTCCTAATAGCTAGTATTTATATAGCACTTTAAGGTGTGCAAAATCCTTTAAACATGCTATCTCATTTTGTCCTCACACCAACCCTGAGATATAGGTGCTGTTATTATCATTCCTATTTTACAGATGAGGTAACTGAGGCTGGCAGAAGTTAACTTGCCCAAGGCCACACAGCTAGTAAGTGTCTGAGGCAGGATTTGGGTCTTCCTGATTCCAGGTCTAGTGCTCTAGCTACTGTATCAACTACCTATCCATGATTATATGTTTTGTAAATGTCTTGGACAGCAAAGAGATCAAATCAGTAAAATACTTAAAGAAATTAATTCAGGCTATTCACTGGAAGGTCAAATACTGAAGATGAAACTTAAATACTTTGGCCTAATAATGATAGGATGGGACTCATTGGAAAAGACTGATGTTGGGAAAGATTGAAGGCAAAAGGACAAGAGAATGCCAGAGAAGGAGACGGATGGACAGTGTCATGGAAACAATGAATATGAGCTTGGATAGACTTCAGGAGATAGTGGAGGTTAGAAGGGCCTGGCGTGCTGTGGTCCATGGGGTCACAATGAGTCAGACACAACCGACTGACTGAACAACATGTATATGTCATGGGGAGTTTCCAAATAGATAAAAAATTTCGTCTTGACACCAACATTCTACAGATATCTTATCTGTGGATGATATTATGCCACTGTGTCCCTGATCCCTAGGGATTACTGTGTTTTGCCAACAGATCTATGGTCACTCAAAAGGAAATCCATCTGGCCATCCATATTGGAAAAACCAAGTGGATGATGAACACATATTAACCTAGATTTTGACCTGGAGTTGGACAGGCACTCTATTTAAGTTCATCATGTATCTATTTTGGTTAAGCCCTGCAGATGGGTAACAAGCTATGGCTGAAACTGAATCTTTCTAAATCGAATTTAGGAACCTGTGCTCTACTTTCAATGGGCCCAAGCTGTTCCTTATGGCAAAAGCCATCTTTAATATTAATACCCTTCTGGGTACTTAGAACAAACATGAAGATCTCTGAAGAGGCATGAGCAGTTAACTCATTGTGCAGCCTACATCCCTTCACTGGGTCCACAAGAACATCATGAGTGGCGTTGCTGAATGCCTTTTAAAAGCCAGATGATCCCTATCAACAGCATTCACCTCATCTACTTATCTAGTCACTGTCACAACAGAGGAAAGTTGTTCTGGCATGACCTGCCCTAAGGAAGTCTTGCTGGCTCTTTGCACTCACTGCTTCCTTTTCTACATGGCTGCTAGCCACCCTTTTGTCCACCCAACCTCCTATGTCCTAGAATTTTAAAAATGAGCTCAAACTTAGTTTTCAAAGTCTACTTTTGACCCTTTTTCACCAAATCAGGAAAACCTTAGTCCTTTCCCAGCCCCATGGCACCTTTTCATCTTCCCATATTGTTTCAAAGATCATTGATGGTGCTTCATCATTGCTTGGAACCTTCAGCACCATGGACTGCAGCCTCGCCAGGTGTGGTCACCTGAAGTCATCAAAGGCAATTAGATACTCTCTCACTATCTCCCTACTTCACTGTGGGTGCTGGTCTCATCAGCTGTTCTGGCTCTGTTCTTTTCAGTCCAAGGATTATCCTTGGCAGAGGAAACGGGAGCGTGATTAAGGGCTGAGGAGTTCCACCTTCCCTCTGTCATCTGTTTTTATCTTCCCAGTGGGCCTCTCTCTTCTCTGAGCTTCCTCTTTTCCCTAATATGTCTAAAAAAGAGCCAAACGTTTTTGTTGGCCCTAACCTTTCCTCGCAGCCTCAGCTCATTCATTCTAAGCTTTAGCTCTCTTGATACTACCCTTAGGAGACTATGCCATGCTTTTGTATTCATCCTCTGTTCATGCTTGCTTCCTATATTCTCTACGTGTCCCTGAAGAGTCCAAGTTGGTCATTAAGTGCCTTGTGATACCTCTAGGACAGCTGGGTGGCCCAGTGGATAGAGCACTGGACTTGGATTCAGGGAGATTCATCTTCATGAGTTCAAATCTGGCCTCAGACACTTACTAGCTGTGTGACCCTGGGCAAGTCAATTAATCCTGTTTGCCTCAGTTTCTTCATCTGTCAAATGAGCTGGAGAAGGAAATGGCAAACCATTCCAGTATCTTTGACAAGAAAACCCAAATGGGGTCGTGGGGAGTCAGACGTGACTGAATAACAAGATGTCTCTAGAGAGAAGTTGGTCTCTTGGGAGAATGTCACCTCTTCCTCCTTATCAGATGTATTTCTCTTTGCATCCCTCCTAGGATGATTTCTCCTATGGAATTTTAGGCCATGGGCTCCTCTCTAACCTTTCTCAGAGCCCTTTGAAATAATCTGCTTTCCCCAAACCTAAGGTTCACATCAGGCCATGCCTAACTTTCCTCTCCTCAACCAACCAATTTTAACATGTAGAGTCCACGTTCCCTCGTGCTTCAGCAGCCTTCATGCTTAAGTTGAAACAACAAATATTCTGAAGCACAATAGAGAGACACTTGGTGGGTGGGCGGACGCAGATGGGAGCTTTTTGCAAACGATGGTTTGTAATCAAGTGGTATAAAGGATATTACTGGGGACATGGATGACCAGAACAGGATGGCGTCTGCTCGGATAGCAAGAATCGATGATGAGCCAAAATGCTGAGTGGGAACCTCCGCGATGCTAAGGGAGCCACAGAAAGGCTACAAGGGCATTGGCCGGATCCTCTAGGCAGAGCTGTCAGAACGACATAGATAATAATGGTGCAAGATGGGAAGGCACAGGAGGTCTTGACCTTGCACTGGCACCTAGCAGAGGGCCTCGGACACAGCAGGTATTTTGTTATTTTCTATCTAGTCTAAGTACCATGTATCGGCCTATTTATTTAAACGCAGTTTCCCCATAAGAATGTAAACCCCTCGAGGGCAGGGGCTGTTTTGGCCCTTATTTGAATCCAAAGTACTTAGCACAGTGCCTGGCACATGGTGAGGCCTTAATAAATCCTTGTTAATTGATTGACTAATAAATGTTTGAATAAATGAATGAATGGTACTCCCACTTTTTTTCAGAGGAAAATAACTGGACAAAATAATTTATGCTAAGGGCTTGATACGTGACCCCTCTGAGGAGTGGCTGGGTTTTAAGAGAAGGCTGTAAGGAAGAGACTATACGGAACCCCCAAAAGGGGCCCTCCTTTGAGGACTGAGCCTGGCCATGGACCACATCTTTGTCTCCAATGTGCCCAATGAGTTCTTGGGTAGGCAGCACAGAAGCCCTTATGGACACATCCCTCATCTACTTCTCTAAGAGGGACTGAAGCCGAGAGGCAGTTCCCACCATAGGGAAAGGAATAAGTATTTATTAAGTGCCTACTATGTGCCAGGCACTATGCTAAGTGTTTTATGAATATCTTCTCATCGGTCTTCTCAACAACCCTGTGAGGTAGGTGCTATTATTATTCCCTTACAGTTGAGGAAACTTAAATAGGTAGAAGAGAAAGGACTTGCCCAGGGTCACACAACTAGTATATATCTGAAGTTGGATTTGAACTCAGGTCTTCCTGACTCCAAGCCCAGTGCTCTATCCACTGCAACACCTAAAGACCCAGTATCCCGACAGGACTGATAACATTGGCTCAGCCACGGTTCTCTCCTGATCCTAGGGATATGGGGCCTGCCAGTCAATAAGTGCAATGGTAAACTAGAGATGGGAGAAGCAATCTTAGGGTGTGACTGAGACTATGGGCCAGGGGCTAAACTTCCTGGCCTGTCTGCCTTAAAGAGCTGAATGAACTGTTCCACTCCTGCTCACTTCAGCTGAAGAGCAATTATAAAACATTTTCTTTGTTGAGGGAAGGAGAAATCCACAGACCAAAATAAATGAAAGAATGCCAGAGCTGGGAGGACGTAGATCGCTAGAGATCCCCAGCTCAGAAAGCTTCTCTGGTTCTGCGTTGCTGCCCGGACAAAACAGTAACTCCAGAGCCTGGAACTCAGGTCCCTCCAGGACTCCAGTCTAGCTTTCCAGACATCATTCCCGTTCACACTGTCTGTTCCAGCCAAACTGGACTAAGCCGGTCCCTAATCTCTCCTATTCTCTGTTCTAACAGCCTTTGGAACTTAAATAAGCTTTGATTGTGGCTCCGTGATGCATCCACGTGCATGAGGCCCTGGCGAGGGGCCTTTTCCACTCAGAAATTACTTTCATGTCTCAAAGAAAAGGGTCATCCTTCTTCCATCAGGTATTTGGCTCCTACTTCTTAAGAAAAAGGAATTTAAGCCAAAAAATATTTCAGGGTGGTATGTGAGTGAATGATTGGTCTCAGGGGGCAACTGCTTCACAAGGAGATGATCCCCGCCCCCCAACCCCCCTGGCTGAGCTCAGCCAGGAATATGTCCTCCAAATGCCTCCTCCTCCAACATACTGGTGCAGGGCATCTCCAGCGGGTCTAAGTCAGCTCGGTAGTACCCATTGCGGCAGACACAGTTAGTGGCTCCTTCTGAAGTGGTCCGGCTGTTGATGGGGCAGTGAGTGCATCCTTCATCCCCCTGATTGGCCTTGAAGGTCCCAGAAGGGCAGCCTAGAGGAGAAAACACACGAGAGTCACCCAGAGAGAAATGAATGAATAGAACTGGACTGACTGTGTGTGTGTGTGTGGAGGGGGGGAGTCAAGAAATCTTAGTCAGAAAAGCAGCTGATACCAGAATTATTATTCCCATTTCACAAAGGAAGAAACTGAGGCTTGGCAAGGTAATTAATTGCCTAAGGTCCCATGGGGCAGACCTGGGACTCACATTAGAACGTAGACTCCTTGTGAATAGGGATTGCTTCATTCTTTGTACTTATGTCCCCAGAGCCACAGTGCCTGGCTCATACATAGTAGGCTCTTAAGAAATGCTATTGATCAACTGTGATTCAGATTATCATGCTACCTTTCCCCTTAGAGAGGTCCTGCAGGATAGTGGGATGACTGCTGGATCAAAGTGCACAGACCTGAGTTCGAGTCTCAGCTCTGTCCTTTACCACCAGTATGACCTTGGGAAAGTCCCTTTAACTTTTTTAGGGCCTCAGTTTCCTCATTTGTAAAAAGAGAAGGTTAGACTAGGCTTCTGAGGTCCCTTCCACTCTTGAGCTAGGATTCTATGATCCAGGTAGACGCCTAAGGGTCTGTGAGAACTTTCTCTGAACCCCATTCCGTTATATATTTGAAACATATGAAGGATGAAAGGCCTTAGAATGGGAAAGGCTCTTAAGAGCCATCTGGTTCAACCTCCTTATTTTATTATTTATATACCTCCTTATGTATATTAATACTTATTAAATATTTGCATTTATAGAAATATTTATTTATCAAATATCCACATCAGATAAATATTTATTTATTAAAGATTTACATTCACAGAATCATTTATTTATTAAAGATTTACATTCACAGAAGTATTTATTTATTAAAGATTTACATTCACAGAAACATTTATTTATTAAAGATTTATATTTATATAAATATTTATTCATTAACTATTTATAGTTACATAAATATTTACCTTTATGTTTAACCTCCTTATTTATGTGGGAGCTGAAGTCCAGAAAGGCTTGTTGATTTATTTGCTCGAGATCACACAGGTAATAGGAACTGGATCAAGATTAGAGCTTAGAGCATCTGAATCCAAACAGTGGATGTCTCGTGATAGCAGGTAACCCAGCCTTTTGGTTTTATGACAGCAAACAGGCTCACAAAGAGATTGCAGGGTCATAGAATTAGAGCCGGAAAAGACCTTAGATGCCGTCTGGTAAAACTCTTATTTTGCAGATAAGGAAACTGAGGCCCTGGAAGGTTAAGTGGCTTGGCCAACATAACAGTGATATTAAGTGCCAGAGGCAGACTGTGAACTCGGGTCCTTGGACTCCAAACCCTTCCCCCTTCTCCTTAAATCCTTGTCCTTTTCTCTTTTTCTCAGCCTCTTTGACAAGGTCCAGTCCCGGCCTGTTTGTAGTCTTCAATAAAAGCCGATCCAGTCTTGGAAGAGATCAGCTTTGGCGGAATTCTCTTCCAAATACGGATGAAGGAGGCTGGGGAACAGTGCTCCCCTCCCTTTCTCCCCATCTTCTCCCCGGCAGCAGCTCCAGCAGCCCTAGCTTGGCACTAAGGAACCGGGTTCCCAAAGGCTGCTGGGAAGCTCTCCAGCCCCAGAGATGGATGGATAGATGTCCCTCCAAGCTGGCGAGGTCAGGCCGTCTGCAACACCAGCCACGGACAGTAGAGGGTAGTATCTGAGCTGCAGGAAGCGTGCCGTCTCTACACCTCCCCCACAGCCCCCCAAAGCACTCCTAGGCATGTGTGACACATGTTCTAGCAATCTCAATAAATAAACAGGAGCCCCGGGTGCACAGGGGGGGACTCCTTGCCTTTTCCAAACTCTATCCGCCGCCTCTCTCTTCAGGCAGCAGGCCTCTTTCTATTCCAAACTTCCTAGGCAGAAGGAACAGATTTGTTTTGGAGAAAGCTCTGCTGGTTCCCCGTTCTGCCTTTCGTTTGAAATCCAGAAGATAACAACAATGACAACAGTAAAAATAGCTGACATTTATATGGCGCTGTATGCAAAGTGCGTTGCAGGAGTGATTTCATTTGATCCTCTTAATGAACTCTGCTTTTATGATCCCCATTTTACAGAGGAGGAAACTAATGCTGAGACGTACTAGCTCAGGTAGTGAGTATCTGAGACAAGATTTGAACCCAGATCTTCCTAACTCTCAGACTAGCCCTGTGGATTTGGAGCTGGAAGGGACCTCAGAGCTTACTAAGTCAGTACTGAGCCCCTCGTTGGCACAGAAGAGAAAAATGATGCCCAGGAAGGGAACTGACTTGTTCAGGGTCACATGTGGGGAGCGGCAGATTTGAGCATAGGTCCTCTAACTCCAAATGAAGCATTCTTTCTAGTGCATCCCACTGTTTCCCTTCTCCCCTTTCCGCACCCAGGCTTGCTGAGGCTGGGTCGGGTGGGGGAGTGAGGACTTCTGCTTCCTGGACCGTCTGAAGGAGCCGAGGTCTGGGAGCCAGGCACCTCATGGCAGCTGTGACGCTAACTCACTGGGTACCGAGTCTGTGAACAAGTAATTTCCTCTCTCCGGGTCTCAGTTTCTTCATCTCTCAAGTGGGGTTTGCTTAGTTCATCTGCGTATTGAGAACGATGAACGTTAGAGCTGGAAGGGGCCGCCAACATGACCTAGTTCCATCATCTCGTCTGGCAAAAGCTAGGGAGGTGAAGGCCTAGGGTAGGGCAGTGACCCGCCTCAGGTCACACACCAGTTAGCAACGGAGCTAGGTCTGGAGACCAGGTCTCCGGGCTCCCAGGCCTGTGATATTTTTCATTTCTACTACACTCTGGTTCTTCTGACACACCGCTGGAAGTGTGCCAGGCGGGATGGCCTGGAGTTTGTAATAGAGACGAACAGGACACCAGGGAAAGGCCTTGACATCCCCCTCCACCACCCTCCAGCATTCACAGCCTTCCACCCAATGCTGACGCCTGAGAATGCTGGTTGGGGGAGGGCTTTATTCTTGTGGTTTAAAGCTCCCGTTCCTTTGAAACCTCCCCCATTCCACTCATTACTAATAATCTTCGCCCTTGGAACTCACATAGCGCTTTGCAACCTGAATGGTGTAATAATAATGATGATAATCATAATGATAATCATAATAACTAACATTTATAGAGTGCTTACTATGTGCCAGGCACTATACTATGAGTAATACTGGCATTATAATGATCTGTCTCCATTGCTGCTACCATTGTTAGATTGGGTGAGTTCCATGTTGGCAGGCACCAGCAAAAACATAGGGCTCTGCATGCAGTAGGTACTTAACACATGTTTGTTGAATGGAGTGAAGGAATGTGTGAAAACACCAAGATCCCTGGGATGGGGATGGGGGGTGTCACACGTGAAGCTACCGTCAAGTACCTCTACCTCAGCTGCAAAGAAATAGCTGAAAAACTGGTTTGGATGGTGGGTAAGAGTAACAAAGAGACCGGTGGGCCAGGAGACACTGGAGGGGTGTGGACAGAGAGACGGGAGGGCTGGGGGATGCTGGGAAGGGACAGTCGGACCTACGTCTTCACGTTCTCTTGAAAGACTGCTTTTAGCTCTGAACGCTGTATGTTTTAAAATTCCATGTTCCAAGATCCTTTCAGGACCTCACAATCTCTGTTCTAAGGCCCCTCCCAGATATTCCAGCTCTGACATCCTGTGCTCCAAGGGCCCTCCCAGCTCTGACATTCTGCGTTCTAAGGGCCCTCCCAGCTCTGACATTCTGTGTTCTAAGAGTCCTCCCAGCTGACATTCTGTGTTCTAAGAATCCTCCCAGCTCTGACATTCTGTGTTCTAAGGGCCCTCTCAGCTCTGACATCCTGTGTTCTAAGGGCCCTCCCAGCTCTGACATCCTGTGTTCTAAGGGCCCTCCCAGCTCTGACATCCTGTGCTCCACGGGCCCTCCCAGCTCTGACATTCTGTGTTCTAAGGGCCCTCCCAGCTCTGACATTCTGTGTTCTAGGTCTCCTCTTTCCAACTGTCACATTTTATATTGTAAAGTTACTTCCAGGTCTGACATTTTGTGTTCAAACATTCTATGTGCTAAGGAAGGACACTTTCTAATCTAATATCCCAGAACTCCATGTGTTGTAGTGAATAGAGTTCTGGATTTGGAACTGAGAAGACCTGGGTTCAGGTCCTGACTCTGGCATGCACCAGCTGTGTGACCCAGGGCACGTTACTCTATCTCTCTGACCCTCAGTTTCCTTAATCTGTAAAATGGAGATAATTATGAGGGCAGCTAGGTGGATAGAGAACCAGGCCTGGAGTCAGGAAGACCTGAGTTCAAATCTGATCTCAGACACTAGCTGTGTGACCCTAGACAAGTCACTTAACCCTGTTTGCCTCTATTTCCTGTAAAATCTGTAAAATGAACTGGAAGAAATGGCAAACCTCTCCCTTATCTCTGCCAAGAAAACTGCAAAAGGGGTAATGAAGAGTCAGACATGACTGAAATGACCACACAACAACACACCTATAATGCCAGCCTTACAGCTCTGTTGTGAGAATAAAATGAGACAAGTACACAAAGTGATGTCCAAACTTTGAAGTGCCACATACACGTCAGGTACGATTATTCTTTCATCCCCTTTCTCTTATTCCTTCCTCTCACCGTGCTCCTTCCAGTCATATTTTCTGCAGAGAGCCCCTGTTGCCCAGGAATTCAAGACCCCAGAGATGCTGATCTCTGGTCACTCACTTATGTATGGTTTTTTTTTTTTTCCCTGAAGTCAAAGACCTGGGATGGGGGAAGAAAAATGAAAGGGTTCTCTATATTCTAACCACGATCCTAGCTCTTATCACCCTCTCACTGCACAGACCAACCAAGGAGCTGGGATGCTGGACAGTCCAGTAACAGCTGGCCTTGACAGAGGACTTTACAGTTTGCAAACCCATTTATGTCACTGGATCATCCCCATTTTATAGATGAGTGAAACTGAGGATGAGAAATTAAGCAACTTGGCCAGGGTCACAGGGCTAGTAAGTATCTGA